CACCCCCACCTGTACACACAGTACACTACACACCACGCACCTCACCTACACAGCACGGCACACTCAGGACACCTCCACCTGTACACACAGTACACTACACACCATGCACCTCACCCACACAGCATGGCACACTCGGTACATCTTCACTTTTTCACAAAGTACACTGTTCACTCACCATGCCCTCAGCACACCCCTCACCTATGCCACCCTCACACCCACTACACCCCTCACCTATGTCTTCACTACCCCTAATACAACACCTTTCATCTACACCACCTTCATATCCACTACACCGCTCACGCACACCACCTCCACTCCACCACCCTCACATTCACACCCTTCACCTACACTAGCCTTACACCCCTACATCCTTCATTTACACATCCTCATACTCAACACACACCTCACCTACACCACCCTCACCGCTCTATACTCCTTACACACACCACCCTCACACCCTCACACCTTTCACCTGATCACCTTCATAGTCACCACACCCTTTACCCACACCTCCCTCACACCCACGACACCCTTTACCCACACCACCTTCTTACCCACCACATCTTTTACCTGCACCACCCTCACATCCACCACACCTCTCACAGGACTCTCACATCCACCATATCTCTCACCTACACAGCCATCACTTACACCACCCTCACACCCTGCAGCTACACCATTTTCACATTCACTATACTGTTCACCTACACCACGCTCACACCCACCACACCGCTCACTTACACAACTCTCACATCCACCACACCGCTCACTTACACTATTCTCACATCCTCTATTCTGACCACTTACACCACCCTCACACCAATGATACCCTTCACCTACGCCATTCTCACACCCACTACACATCTCACTTACACCACCCTCACATCCACCACACCCCTCACTTACACCACCCTCACATCCACCACACCTCTCACCCACATTACCCTCACACCTACTACCCCCTTCACCTACACTATTCTCACATCCACTCTACTGACCACTTACACCACGCTCACACCCACTACACATCTCACTTACACCACCCTCACATCCACCACACCGCTCACTTACACTATTCTCACATCCACTCTACTGACCACCTACACCACCCTCACACCAATGACACCCTTCACCTACACCATTCTCACATCAACTATACATCTCACTTACACCACCCTCATATCCACCACACCTTACTTACACGACTCTCACATCCACCATATCTCTCACTTACACTACCCTCATACCCACTACACCTCTCACTTACATCACCCTTATATCCACCACACCCCTCACTTACACCACCTTCACATCCACCACACCTCTCACACCACCTTCACATCCACCACACCCTTCTATACCACGCTCACATCCACACTTTACCCACACCACCCTTGCACCTGCACACCCTCATCACACCCCACACCTTTCATGTACATCACCCCCACATTTCACCTACACCATCCTTACACCTGCACACCCACCATAACAAACATACTGGACTATGGTTTCAGGGTGTTAATATTGTTGTTTCTTATCAAAGTGAGTGATAAGAAAACTTAACTAGAAACATGTTCAAACTTTGGCGATGATAATCACATACAAGGGCACAACCCGAGCTTCAACACTTCCAGCGTGACCTCTGCTCACTCACCTGATGGAAGCCCAGGTAATCCACGATTGTTGCTGACGCATAAAAGATCATTCCTTCTCCACTCACCACCAGGGCAAACCCGTTGAGAGACTGGGGAGAGTAGAAAGATGCTGATGAGTCCAAACTCACGTTCTTTCATGGCCAGCCCTTTCTCCTCATTGTCCATATGTCCACACTCACATTTTCTCACAACCCACCGTTTCTCCTTGTACTATAGGCTTGTGCTTTCTCACAACCCATCCTCTCTTCAGTGTCCACATATCAAGACTCACAGTCTCTCAAAGTCTACCATGTCTCCTTGCTGTCCATGCTCGCGTTCTCTCCCAGCCCATCTTCTCTCTTCAGTGTCCACACATCACCACTCGCGTTCTCTCACATTCCACCCTCACTCCTTGTTGTCCAGCTCGTGTTCTCTCATGTTCTCTCCCAGTCCCTCTTTTCTCCTCAGTGTCCACACTCACACTTGCTCACATTCCTTTTTCATTGTAGTCCAGGCTCACATTCTTCCACGTCCCACCTTTTAGGCTTGGTGTCCATGCTCCTGTCCTCTCCATAAAGCCCACCCTTTCTCTTCATAGAAGTTGTTCAAGTTTTACCATGTCCAATTCTTTCCCCTCGTAGTCCATGCTCAGAGCAGTATAACACACACTCCTTTATTCAGACCACTTTGGAACAGGTCCCAAAGTGAGAGGTGACATGGGAAATCGGTTGTATTAGGCTCAGTGCTTGACTCATGGATTTAGAATGTGTGTTTTATAAACTATAGTCACCATGATGAAGCGATAGTAAGACAGCAGCATGGATGACTCAAAGAAGAGAAACTTTCCTTTTACTCTGTGAAACTTTCCCCATATACTTTCTTCTACGTGGTACATTAGGACTTTGTTTTAAAAAGTGTTGGTTTTGTTCGAGGTTTTTCCTCCTGTGGTAACATGCTGACTGTGTCAAATGCTGCTTCTGTGTCACTTGCCTATCAAAGTGGACATCAGATTGAATTTTGTCCCCAGCTGGTGTATATGATGATGTAATGTGGAAGGTATGCAATGACCACTGTGATCTGATAAAAGGATTGAGGGTGGAATGCAATACCCTTAATCTCATTACAGTCCTGATCTGAGGGAATGGGAGGTTGCAGAGGTGTGGCCTCTGCAGCTGGCATCTCACGTGAGACAAGAGGAGGAAAAGCAAGGAGAGAAGGGGACTCAGCGTCACCAAGAGAGAATCCCCAGGAGTGGAGGGTGTCTTCTGGCCTAGGTCCCTGTGTTCAGGCCAAGACACATGGCCATCACCAAAGGACACAAACCAGACAGATGCTGAAGGAAGCAAGGCCCCTTTTCCAGAATCGACAGAGGGAAAGCCTTCCCCTCGAGCTGGCCCCTGATCCTGAACTTCTAGCCTCTGCCACTCATGGTATTTCTGTTACAGTAGCACCAGATGCCTGAGGTAATGATGAAGTGCATTGACAGGTCTTGGGTGTAAGTACTCTGATGGTGATGATTTTTTCCATACTCTTGTAATGGATTAACTTCACCTAGGAGTTAAGATCTATGTTTAGAATAAAACTGAAGATTACTGAATATCCCATGGATTGCCAAAAGAACCAACAGATATATCTTGGAGAAGGTGCAGCCAGAGTGCTCCTTGGAGGCAAGGCTGTAGAAGCTTCATCTCACATACTTTGGGCATGTTGCTAGGAGGTGCTTCTCCTTGGAGAGGGAGATCATGCTTGGAAAGGCGGAAAGACAGTGGGGGCGCGGAAGACCCTCAACCAGGTGGACTGACACAGTGACAATGACAATGGGCCTGAGTAAGTCAGATTGTGAGAACAGCACAGGGTTCAAGTGTGTTGTCCTCAGCACGTTTCAACGGCATGTAACAACAACTACAACAACAACAGTTTCCTTTCCTTCCTTTAACGGTACATAGCGGCCAGGGATTTTTGGTGGTGTAGTTGGTAGAGAGGTACGTTAGCTCTGGTAAGCCATCGAGCAAAGCACTCTGGAGGTTTGAATCTACCAGCCATTCCTTAGGAGAAACATGGTCACTCCCCTCCTGTGAAATTTACAGCCTTCAAAACACATTTGATGGTTAGTTATGCGTCAGAACCAACTTGATGACAATGAAAGAGTAATAGAGACAGAAACACACAGACAGAGAAAGGCAACCGCCAAAAAGTGAGCTGGACCACAGGCATCCTCGTTTCCCAAGCCTACCTCCAGGCCTTGCCCACAGAGCCTCCCCTGGGCGTGGCCTCCAGCCCTGCAGTTCTCACCTGGTCCTGACTCCCAGTGGTTCTGAGCCTCATACCCTTTCCAAGACCTGCCTGACCTCCTAGCTGGTGTCCACAGGACACCTGGCATATGCCCTGAAGTGCTGGTAGCTGGAAGGCCCCAGAATTAGTGGGCCAAGGGTGTGACAAGGGAGTCTGTGGGCTGGACCCTTGGGGCAGGGAGCCCCAATCTGGGTCTCCTGGGCACTATATGCTGTACCTAAGAGCAGTTGTAACATCTCCTGGGAGCCCCACTCGTTGGTGCCCCCAGCTCTGTGTCTTCACAAAGCCACAACCTCCTGCACCGCCCACCCTTGAGCCAGGGTCTGCAGGTGGAATCCGAGCGTCTAATGTCACCTGGGCTACCTGGCTGTTGAGACCAGGAGCTCTTCCAGACAGAGCGCAGGGACTGGGCTCTTAGTTCTGTCACTGTGGCCAGGTCAAAGCCCCACTGCTCCTTTCGAGCTCTGGTGACCTAAGAAGAGTCTCCGGCCATCTCTCTGGAGCTCTTTCCACACTGGCTCACATGGTGCCCTCTGCCCATGGGGGCTGAGTGGGTGGGAGAGGAGGACACAGCCTCAGACTCCACAGGACCAGCTCTCCTCCCTCATGTTCTGCTTCTCCTGCCCTGAAAGCCGCCACCTCAAGGCCTGGCTGGACGTCAAGGCAGATGACCGCTCACTAGGTGGCAGGAGAGGGGATACCGAGGTTCACAGAGAGTGTGCAGAGCAAGAGAGCATTCAAGATGCAGAAATGTTTCAACAGGACAGGTCTGCACAGGGCCTCTCGAGAATGAGCTTGGTGTGGGGCACCTGTGAGGCCCAGGAGTCTGGAGGAGGGGGCCATCTCACCATCAGGGGGAACGGAGGACACACGGGGGAGAGAGGGACAGTCAGGACAGTGGACAGGGGTCTCCAAGATGCCCTGGGGAGCCATGCCCCTTCAAGCTGCCCATTTCCCAGGCCACCGCTTCTGGGGGTCCTAGATCCTGTTCTCTGTGGGGAAACTCTGAGCAAGCCCTGCTCAGTAGTCCTCATCACCTGTCAGCGCGGGCGAGGCAGCGGGGCCCTCACAGGCTCCTGCGAGTGCAAAGGCTTGGCAGGGAGGCTCCTAGCCCACCAAAGAGGGAAGGGACAGTGGTGGATTACCGGGTGGGGGTGGGGTCCATGGTTAGGATTGCTTTAATCCCATGATTGTTTTCACTTTTTTAATTATGTAAAGGTTCTCACATAGACAAAGTGGTCTCAGTGTATTTAAACATCATTTACACATCAGCCAGCCTCAATTATCCATCCTGGTTAATTTTGCCTCATCTCTATCCCTCAGCTACTGAATTATTCTGAAGCAAATTCCAGATTTTTTGTCAGTTAATCCAGAAATATTTCTGTTTGTAAATTACTTCCATAAAGTTTGTGCTCATCAGCAGTAACCACTTCCTTGCTTTTTAATCAGGCCAGGCATCATTTTTTACCTTTGACAATTTGATGGGATAGATTATTTAATATTATTTTAATTATCATTCCATTGGTTAATGGTTGAAAAGACATTTCATACATTCACTAGTAATTTGTATTAATTTTTCAACTACCTGGGCATATTTACCAATTTTCTAATATGATTTTTAACTATCCATTTGCAAAAGCCTCTAAGATTTTAAGATATGGGTCTGGGGCGGCCAGCTCATGGAGATTGTGAGGGTGGTGGGCCAGTGCTAGACTGCCATCCCCTGGACCCAGGCTGCCTGTGAGCCAGCGTTGTACTGATGGCACCTGAAAGCAACAAAGGGAGAAGACAACAGAGGCTGTGAAACCAGGACCAGAGCTCAAAACAACACAAGTCTATGTGCATGCTGGAGACCCACCAGCCAGTCACTGGCATAGCCAAGAAGCCTGGGCAGCACAGACACAATGCTTCTGAGCTACTAACAGAGAGGTTGGCAGTTCAAACAGACTGGCTGCTGCGTATGAGGAAGAGGTGGTAATCGGCTTCCATGGAGACTGAGCCAGCTCTACCCTTAAGTATAAACAGTCACTAGGAGCAGAAACAAACATGGCCCAGCAGGTTAGCAAATGACATAGCACACACTACACTATGGACTCAAGTCTTTGTGTTACCAGAAGAATGAACATCAAATCTCAATAGCTTAAAGTTACTATATCATAAAAGAAAAAAAGCATATAATCTCCTCATAAGAAAGCAGAGAAATCAGAGCCAACTAAAGGCAATGCAAAGCTATCGACTTGGAATAAACACAGCTGACTCTCCAGTGGGTTTTCTTCTGTTGTGTTCTGTTCTGTTCTGTTCTGTTGTACATAGGGTTTTCAGAGGCCTCTTATTTCAGAAGT